GAAGACACTCCTCTCTCCTAAAGGAAGACAAGTGGACCCAAGGGAGCCAGCCCCGTGGTCTAAACCACACAGCCCGTTTGTGGCAATGCCAGAACCCCCAGAACCCCACAGCATCCCCTTCATCGGCCATGTGGCCTCTCACAAACCAGAATACTCCAAATGGGGGGAGCAGCTGATCCAAGAAGGGATGGGCCATTGTGGAAAATTAAAACAATCACCACTCTCTTTGTAGTGCTCACAACTCTAAATATCTTGTCATTTAAGGACACGATCAGTTTTATATGCAAAATTGCCAGCTCAGACTTGGTAGCTAGTTCCCTTTATTGTAGCAGAGGCCTGGAGGAAACTGAGGAAGGAAAGGAGTCTTGAAGAAAAATAGCAGAGGTTCCTGGCCCTCCCTCTAAGCCATTGCCACCCTTTGTTTTTCCAGGGTCTTCTCTCCAGCCTCATGCCCCTTTCCTCAGGTTAGCTGCATTAACTGTTCACGTCAGCTGGGTCTACTCACTAACCCTGGGTAGAGTGGCTATTTTTGGAGGGTGCTGATCCTCACTTCCTCACCAGCCCTGTTAGGCTTCTTAATATAAAGCCCGTCAAATCGCTCCAGGGCTGTGCTGGGTGAGGGAGTCTTCAGTAACACTTCTTTCTCAGCTATTATTGGCAACAAAGAACTAGTTATTTGCCTTTTCCTTCTCCTTTCACCTCATGGAGCCTTCTGCCTCCCCAAAGTGGCTGAAAGAGAATTTCTGAGGAGATGCTTTTATCTCCCATAGCTGAGTGCTCGATTTTTTTTTATTATTTCTAGAAGGAGTTCCGGTGGGCGTAATATGTGGATGGGCCCGCTTCCTCCTAACCTGGACATTTGGATTCAAAAATTTACTTTCACATAACCATGGCAAAGTACTAAAAATATGCTCAACAGCTGTTTATTTTGTTTGGATGAAGGGTTCCCCCCTTCCAAGGGGCGCTGGCTGCATAAACGTGCATTTAAAGTGGAAACGCAGCATTCTGTTCCATCTGTAATCTGAGCCCTCCTCTAGGGCTGGCACTCTCCCTCCCAGGGATGGCTGCGTCTCAGGAGCAGGAATCAGTGGGGATTGGAGTACGTGGCCAGAGAACAAAGCCGGGAGGGTGCACGTGGCTATGTTTTGGGGACAGGATGGAACACGTCTCTGGTTGACAGGTGTATTGTGCGCCTGTGTGCGCAGGCACGGGGCAAGGGGATCTGAATTTCGACTGTGGGCGTGTGTGATTTGTGTGGGTGGAGGGATCTGGGCGGATGAACGGAATCTGTGTATGAGGGGGAGAGGCGGGGTGTGTGAGATGACTCATATTTCTCAGCCTGTGGGAGGGTTTATTTGCTGGGGCTAACTTTTGGTCCCAGGGGTCCTATGCACACGGCACCCAGGAGGAAATATTTACCTGTGCATCTTAGCGTGGGAGTCCAGCAAGTGGAGAAGAGGCAGTGCGACTGGTGGGATCCAAGTGGGGGCGTCTGAGTGCGTGTGTCTGTGAATGTGCCCTTGTCTACAACCCCGGGCTGCTGCACCCAGAAGAGAGACACGGGTGTGGAGGAAGAGGGGCGAACAAGGAGGTAGTTTTGAACCAGGTGGTTTAGAAAGGGGTGTTCCGCACAGAAGCGCAGGCTCTGGAATCGCCATCCTGAGAGTGCATCTGGGCGTGGCCCAGTGCTCATCTGCCTTCTCTGAGCCTGCACTTCCCACTATGGGACATGGGAGGAATAAGGCTGGAACGGAATAGAGATTCAGTGCTATCATTCACGCAAACACTTGCCCGTGCCCTGCACACAGGAAGTGTTTAATGTTGCCATTTATTATCCTTTTCAAAACCGTCATTGTCATGTCTGGCTACTGGCGCTAAAACATAATCACTACATGTGACATATCCTGCACGTGAACTGTAACAAGAAAGCAGTCGTAAATAATAGTGAATGCTTACTGGTCTAGCCACGTACACCACCTCAATTAATCCCCACCTATTTACAGGAATTACTATAAGCCCTTTGGACAGGTGAAGAAACGGAAGCTCAGAGAAGTTAAATAACTTGCCCAAGGTCACAGAGCAAAGGCACGGCTGGGATTCAAGCACAGCAGCTGTAAACTCGACAGCACGTGCTCGACCACCCCACATCCCCCACCTCAGCATCTCCGTGGAGCCACCAACAGACCAAGGAAGCCACTCAGCTCGCTTCACTGAGCAATACCTGACTTGCGCTCATGGGAGGATGAACCCAAAGGAGCAGGAGTTGGCGGAAGTGTCCCCAGTTGAAATGGATTCCATACCAATTCCAGCTAAATGTGGAATACATTTGCTGTCTGTGCATTATTCATGAATATCACTGTTTTCCCAAGTCAGCACTGGGAGCTGGGCTGAAGTTCGGGAGCTTTGCTGAGGCCTGCCCAATACTCGCGTCTCTGGTGCACAGGAAAAGTTGGACTAGACCTTTAACTCATTAAAGGCTCTGCCCTCTCCAAAGGAAGCCTCATCACAGCCCACCAGCCAACTGGGGAGAAAGCGTGGAGATTCACCGTTTTGTTCCAGCAGGCTACAACCCACTTCAGCTCTGCTCGCTGGATGGACTGCGTGAAGGCACACTCTCCATCGTCACCTCCTTCCCAACAAGAAGTGGGGGCCGTGTTCCGGCACAGTGGTCCCCGATGTCTGGGCTTGACCATCCCAGGCCAGAAGGGTCAATTTGATTTTCTGTCATGCCATGTCACAAACCAAAAGAAAGCAGCTGGCCCTGGTGCCCTGCATCTGTGCACCTGCCTCCGCTGGCATACAGGTGGTGTGGTGAGGACAGACTGGGGTTCAAACCCTCAACTCTGCCACAGAGGTGGGGCACCTGGCTCCTGGGCCTCACTACCCACACCTGTAAAGTGGACATGATCCCCTCTATCACATGACACTCAAGCAAGAAGATGCAGAGGGGAAGTGCTCTAGGGAGCTGGCCACTGCTTAGACAGTTGGATGCAGGACAGAGACCCAGGGCAGTAAATCCAATAAAAGAAGTGTCTCTCACAGCAACATGTCAGACCCTAAACTCATGGCCAGCCACAGGATCAGGCTCTCTCTTCCCCCAGCAATCACAATGCGACTGCCACCCTCCTTCTCAAGTGGAAGCTCCATGAGGGCAAAGATATGTCTGCTTTGCTCACTGTTATTTTCCCAGAGTCCAGAGCACCTGCTCACGGCAGGCACTCTGTAGATATTTGTTGAATGAAGGACAGAATTCCACAGGACACTGAAGATGTCCAGAGAGGCAGGCAGCCTGGGGTGTTAGACCTCACCCTCGGATATTCTGGGGAGTTCTTGACTCCTTTCCTCCACATGTTCCCGTATGCAGCCCCCTGCACAAGACTACGAAGTCACTCTCCTGGCTCAGGCACAGCTGGGAGCACCTCGGGAGGGACAGATCTCCAGAGCAGCCTGGCCAAAGCCCCGGGGTGACAACTGCTCCTGGGCTCCCAAAGCGCCCAGCTGGGAGTGCCAAGCTGCTCTACCACCCACCTCAGCCACCCACACCTGCTGCCCGGGCCTCGCTGTGCCTGCACATGGGTGCGTGCACACGCACACACACCCACGACCTGGAACCCGGCAGGTCAGGCTGCTCGCCTGGCCCCCATGGCCCAGGGTCAGGGAACTCTCCAACCTGATCAGTGAAAACAACAACAGCACAGTAGAGGCCACCTGGGACCAGGGCTGGGCAGGGCGATGACAAGCAGGAGCATTATATAATTAACTGCCCCCATGCCTCCTCCCCTTTGAGAAATAATGAACCCTGCCTCTCAGTTGCATAAGCCAAAATAATAATTACTCTCCAGCCCTCTGTCACTCCTGGATGTGGCCGGGGAGCAGGTGTTTAGCACTTGCTTCATGCGACTTGGAGGCAGCGAGCAGGCAGGGAGAAGACCACATATACACTTATATTTCTGTGCCCACCAGAAGCATACAAGTCACTGCTATGCCCCACTGCATGCTTCAAAAATTACAACCGCTTCTAAGAATGAACTCCCAGATTGGGGGCTGGGTGGGGGGTTGCACCAGAGAGCAGGCTTGCTTGGGGTCTGGCTTCCAGGAACAGTAAATGTTCCATGCCTCTCCGCTGCACCAAGGAGTGGATACTAGCATGCCTGGGACAGGGGTAAGCTGGCTGCAAGGCCAACAAAGCTCCCTGCACAAAAATCTTACAGTGGTGGTAGGCAGCTGGTGGACAGCTCCCTGACTTCCTGCACCAGCTCAGCCCTGAATGTGGTGGCATCTTAGAATGAAGGCACAGACTATTCCCTGAACTAATGGGGAAAATGATTCAGCCACTGAACGGTGAGATTCCTGGGCTCTCGCTAAACAGATGGGCCTCCCTCCCTCTCTCCCTTTAGCAGCCTGCTCTGACAGCGCTAGCCCATGTCCAACCACCTAGAAGTTTATTGCCTTGTGTTGGTTTGGATTCGTGCCCCCCGCCTCTATCTTTCCTAGTCGCTCCCTTTCCTTTGGCTTGGGTTGATCAGATCTGTGCGAGGCCCTTTGGCACCGCAGGAAAACAAGAAACAAAGCTGGGGCCTGAGTCCTGGAGGCCCACACCAAGGGAGCTCTCAGTTGTCAACCAGGGGAAGGGGGTCTCTTCTAGCCCCTGGCTGCCCTCAGTGGGTCCTAGAGGAGGCCCTGGGCCCAGTCTGGCCTTTCCCTAAGTCTCTGGCCTGCTCTTAGATGATGCATAGACAGTGCTCAGCTCCGCAGCTCCAGGGCCTGGCTCTGCTCCTGGAAAGCCCCCAACACCATTCAGCTGGCACAGGGGTGCTATCCCCCACCAAGCAGTGGGGCAACCTGTAGCCAGGGCAGCCGGGCCTCCAGGGAACCCCGGGAAATGACCAGGTGCCCAGGGCCCCACTGGAGGGAGAAGCTCAACTTCCCCAGAGATAAACAGAAGAGGCAAGAGAAGGTCCCTCCTCCGCCCAGCCCCCGGCCCGCACCGGCGCACCTACCTCCATCCGAGTAGGTCTCTGTGCCGTAGCCGTCCTGCAGCCCGTTGCTCCAGGTCCCTTCGTACTTGGCCCCGTTGCCCGTGCACTCCCGCACCCCGTAGCGCCCCTTAAATCCGTGCGTCCACTCGCCCTTGTACACCCACTTCCCCTTGCTCTCCAGGCCGATGCCGTGGCGCTTGCCCTGCGCCCAAGTGCCCTGGTACGTGTTGCCGCTGGGCCAGGTGTAGACGCCCAGTACCTCGAAGCCGTGGCTCCACGAACCGGTGTATTCGCCCTGGCCCTTGGGGCCGGTGCAGACGCCATGGCCGTGCGCCTTGCCGTCCTCCCAGCCTCCACAGTAGGACCCTCCATCGTCAAAATTAAACCTACCCCCACTGGACATGCATGTAACTCGGTTTGCAAATCCCGCAAACGGTGAAAAAAAAAATAAGGCTATCAACAAACCGGATTCTTGGTTGGCTGGCTGGTTTTGTTTTGCTATTTTTTAAAAAAAAGAAAGAATGGAGAAAGCAAAAAAACAGCGAGCAGATCCCGAGCGGCGGGCGGCCGAGGAGCCGGCTTCGGTGGAATTTAAGTCAATCGGGGGCGATTATTCATTTTCGAGCTGCGCCGCGGAGCCTGACCAGCGTCTCGCGCTCCCGCTGGAGACAGGACCGGAGGGGAGGAGGGAGGGGGAGGGGAGGGGAGGGGGAGGGAGGGGGCAGGAGCAGCAGCGCTGGTGCAAACGGCTCCACCTCAGCTCGAAGTGCCCCTCAGAGGCGAGCCCGCGGGGCTGGCCACGCAGGCCGGCGCGGGGACCGCGGCTCAGGCTCGGGGCTCAGCCCCCCACCTGCGGCTGCCGCGCTGCGGGCGCCCGAGGGCGGCGGCGGGGCCCGCGGGAGGCGGCACGGGCGGCGGCGCGGGCGGCTGCACCATATTGGGGGCCACGGGCCGGGCCGGGGCGGCGGCGGCAGCAGCAATGCGGCGGGTCGGGCGGCGGCGGCGGCGGCAACAGCAGCTACGACGGCGTGCTTTTTGAGCCCGGCCTGCGCGCTCGGGCCTGCGCGGCGCGCCTCCGCACCTAGTCCGCGCGCCCCCGCGCCGCACCCCGCCCGCCCTCGAGCCCCCGCACCGGCCCCCTGCTTCTGACGCGCCCGCGGCCTGGAGGGGGTCGCTGCCCCACTTGGAGTAGTGCTGGGGCGCCGACAGGACCCCAAGCGCTCCACCTTCATCCCTACCCTGCGCCACTTCCCGCCCAGCTTCCCCTCATTGCCCGTGCCCGCCTGGAATTAGGGGTCCAGCCAGTGCACCCCAACCCCCCCTTTTCCCGGGACTTGGATTTAAAGGGACAGGAACTGCGTAATGGGAAGGCGCCCAGCACCCAGGTACTCTCTACCCCTACTGGGAGCCGCCAGTAAAAACCGACCGAGCAGGCCCGGGGCGCTCGTGGGGCGTAGGGCGGGGTGGGGGTGGGGGGCGCCCGTAAGGTTCCGGTTCCTCAACCACGCTCCTCGCCCCCCCTCCTGGCTCCAATCTGCGACGCCTGCCCAGGGCTTGACTGGAAAGGCTCTTGGCAGACCACAGGTGGTTTTCCCTATGACAGCCCGTCCTTTTCCTTACAAACAGTTTGACTCCATATGTGGAAGGAAGGGAGGGGGAGGAGGCTCTAGTCTCAGAAAACATGCCCCCCCCCCACCCGGTATATTAAAAGAAAGTCTGGTCACACGCACATATCCTGGATTAAAGGTACCCCAATCCCATTTCTCCTCTGCGCCCTGGACAACAGGTAGCCCCCCACTCCGGGAGTGGTCACCCTTTGGGAGTAAAGTGTGATCTCCACTCCGGCGTTACTAGGTCTCCACACATATTCCCACCCCCACCTCACAAGAGATAGCGCCTGATTCCTGGATCCGAGTATCCTGGGACCAATTTAAAATGCATTTCCTGGGCCATAAAATCCGCAGGCAGAGCCCGCGTTCCCAGCTCTCTCGGAGCGCATGTGGCAAGTGGCAGCAGCCAGTGATTCGGAGGGAGACTGCACGGGGTCCGGGCTAATTGGAGTGCGGGCAGGTGGCTCGGGCTGTGTGGAGCCAAGAATTGCGAACCAGGCAGTGGAGCCTGAGATTTAGCACAGCAGAAGGGGTGCAATGAAACCTCCAATTAGCCAGGGGCTCTGCTCAGCAGTCTCCTGCCTGCATTGTTCCCACCTTTGGGTAAATAGGTTCTCACTGGAAAACTAGCTCCTCCTCTGACCGCTAGAGTTCAAGCTCTGACTTCTTGTCTCGCCCTGGGCACCCAAGCCCCCTCCCTTAAGTGCCACTGGCCTGGTTGGCAGTCACCTCCTCACCCACCCCCCAGGGGAGGGGCCTTTAGGGAGTTTGGTTTGGCTTTGCGATTTGCAGTTACATAGTTTTTGTTTGTTTGTTTTTTAAAGATTTTATTTATTTATTTTCAGAGAGGGAAGGGAGGGAGAAAGAGAGAGAGAAAAATATCAATGTGTGGTTGCTGGGGGCTGTGGCCTGCAACCCAGGCATGTACCCTGACTGGGAATCAAACCTGCGACACTTTAGTTCGCAGCCGGAGCTCAATCCACTGAGCTACGCCAGCCAGGGCGCAGCTGCATAGTTTCAAAGCACCTTCTCAGCCCTGTCTCCCTGTGCTTCTTGGAATGACTGGGGGTGGAATTGTTGGGTCAAGCACCTCTGGGACTTCGTAGAAGTTGCTCTCCTGGAGAATTTCCTTTTAACCCTGCAGTGCACCTGCACTTCCCATTCTCTACTTCCTGGCCAGCACTGGGTTTAATAGGACTTATATTGGGTTTCCATTTATTTTATTTTGTTAGTCTAAACGGGTATGAAATAGCACCTCGGGGCTGTATGGTGAAAATGAAAAATTATGCATAGTAAATGTGTAGACAAAAGGGCTGCAGACTTTCCTCACGAGATTTGGGTTCAGATTCTGTCTCCAAGGCTGGCCAACTGTGTGCATTTGGGCAGTCACTTAATACCTCTGAGTTCAGTTTTCTCATCTGTAAGATGGGTATAATGGTAGTTCCTATAAGGGTGCAGTGAGCATTTAAGTAGCTGGGTGCTCAGCACGCAGTAAGCACTGAAGAAATAGGAAGTCATGTTGTTATTAGGAGCTCACTCCCCCAACAAAGGTCATGGGTTCCTACGTGGGACCCCCACTCTTCAGCCTGCTCCTCCAAACACTGTTGATGTAAAATCGCTCTTTCTCTTGTATACTCTGCACTTTTTTCCTTCCATTTTATTTCCAACCCTTTTTTTGCTGATTCAGCAGCCCTTCCTCACAGGAGCAGTGGATTGCAACTGAGATCTTATTGGAAAATGGTGATTGGTTCCAAACAATTATTGGAACCCTCAGCACCTTCTCCCTCTGGGTAATGCATACCCTTCCCCTGGTAATTCCCATACACACCCCGACCCCCAGCACTGACCCCCCTTTCCAGTGCATGGTCAGATTAGCTTGAGCAGCAACAGATTCTACTGTCTGAGTTGCAGGTATTAGAGGCATTCATTTTGTGCAACTTGGAAATCGTTCTCCCATAAAGTGGGGCTGGAGGTATTGATTTCATTTTGGAAGAAAGTCTCCAAGGCTATAAACATAGTACCACCCAGCAATTTCAAAACAAAAACCAGGGAGAAAAACAGGAAATGATACCACCATGTGCAATTTCGTGGCTATGTGCATAAGGCTCTGGGCTGGGTACCTCTCATCAGTGATCCCATGGGCACTCCTTGGGGGTCCTGGGCTTCTAGGCACCCTCCCTTCGTAAAGACCAGTTTGGAGCCTACCTAAGTGAAGCGTCTGGCCAGAGGGAAAATAATGACTAAGCAGCATTCTAGCTCCAGAGTCTGGTTTTCCAGCCTGTAACCTTTCTGGCCTCCAGGCATTGTACTGCTGTTCCCTTCAGCCACTTCCATGACCGCGACTGGGAAGTTTTCTGGTTTCAGGTCCCGAGAAGCTTTCTGTTTCCATGTTTAACACTCGCCCCCACCCTGCACCACTTCATCTCGAGAAGCCTGTTTGTTTCCTTCAGTTACCCATCTTCTAGTCTGTGCTGGTGTTTGCTCCAACACCATGAGATGTCCGTATCGAGAAGTCCCATTCTGGGGCCTCTCCTATAAAGCCACATGGACACTCCTCCTGCTGAGAGGCAGGCAAGCTGGTGAGTATAACAGAAGTGATACAATGTGACTTCACAGGTCAGGACATAAATGGTGGCACAGCTTCTGGCTCATGGTCTCAGGATGCTAGAGCTTGGAACGAAGCCTCCATGCTATGAGGAAGCCCAAGCAGCCCCTGGGAAGCTACACAGGAGAGAAACAAGGCCTCCAGCCCGCGGCCCCAGCCGGCCTCCCAGCCAGCCCTGCACACACGGACAGCTGAGTGCACGCACCGTCTTGAACTAGATCTTCCAGCGCAGGAGGACCACCTGCATGAATGCCACATGGGGCAGAGGTCCCACCCACGGCGCTTCCCCCGCCATGTCTTGTCGTAATTTCAATTTCTGAGCAAAATTAGTGATTCTTGTTATGTTGAGTTAGGGATTAAACAAACTATAGCTCAGGGGCCAAATCTGGCCCACTGCTTGTTTTTGTAAGTAAAGTTTTATTGGAACACAGCCACCCCCTATTCACTTACACATGCCTGTGGCTGCTTTCCCACCCCAATGGCGGAGTGGAATCATTAGAGCAGAGACCATAGGGCCCACAAAGCCTGAAATATTTACCATCTTGTTCTTTACAGAGTTTGCCAAGCCCTGTATGTTAGTCGACTCAGGCTGCCATAACAAAATACCATAGACTGGGGGGCTTAAACCCAGAAATTTATTTTCTCACAGTTCTGGAGGCCGGAAGTCTGAGGTCAGGGTGCCAGCATGGGTGGGTGCCAGTGAGGACCTTTTCCTGTGCCTCTCACTGTGTCCTCCAATGGGGCAGGCAGGAAAGGGAAGGAGAGAGAAAGTCCCAGTGAGCAGAGGCGAGCCAGAGTGCTCCAGGGCTTTTGTCCTGTGAGGACACTAATCTGTGGGATCAGGCCCCACCCTTAGGACCCCAATTAGCATTAATTATTCCTTACTGCACATCCAGCCACACTGGGGGTTGGGGCTTCAATATATTGATTTTGGGGAGCAGGAGACACATTCAGTCCATGAAACCGTGCTTTAAGCCACTGTGTTTTGGGCGGTTTGTCGCTTGGTAGTAGTAACCAGAACAGGCTGTAAACTTCATGCAGAAGCTTGTCTTGTGTGGTTCCCTCTCTGCCTCAGGAGCCGGAGCCACGGGTGTATGATACACTTCTGTGACACAAATGACCGACCCGCGAGTGGGTGGTAAGCAGCATGGTGATAGGGAAAACAGCCTCCGGGCAGCGGGGGACCTGGGTTCTGGTCTTGGTTCTGACACTAACTTGTGTGACGTCCGGCACATCTACCAGCTTCCCAAGGTCCAGCGTCTTCACCTATAAAATGGGAAACTAGATAACTTCCCTGGTCTACCAGTTCTATAGTTCTAGAATTTTCCTCAGCACTCATTGCTCCTCTGCTTGCAGCCCAATGTGACCCTGCACTGCTGCACTGGGGGAGAGTTTATCTATGGTCTCTGTGCAGTGGATTACTCCTCAGGACCATGCGTGTGGCACATGGGAGCTGCGGAGGGAG